TTATTTCTAATCATTAATCATTAGTATCGAAAGAGTACCAAGAGCCACATTAAAAAGTCCCATTGGAGAGTTAGAGCTGTGCACCACTTACATTGATCCAATTCTTAACCCACTTTTTATGGATCCTGATCGCGATGTATTCTTGCGATGGTAAGCTCTTTAACTTGATAATATCTTCATCTATATATTTTCTAATCGATGGGAATATTGCAGGTCAAATAAAGAGGCAACGGAGTCCAAGGCTAGAAAGCCAGTAGGCAGGGCTAAACAGCCCGATGCCACCATTACCGAAGTAAATCAGCTGTCTTGGGGCTTGAGCAAAGGACATGGTGAGGCAAAGGTTCAAGAAGAGGCCAATAACCTTTACCTCCTTTGCACTGATCTGATGCGAATAGCTGTGTTTAATAAAGATGCAATCGACTATTACAATATGAATTGTGTGCTAGGATTTCAGGTTGTCGGTAAGTTTTTCAATAGCAACTTTTTTTGAATCACACATTACTAAACAAGTCCTTTGTACTCAATAGGGCAACATATCACATTCTATCTAACCACTCTTTTGTATGACGCCTTATATGTTATGGTGGAAGTTGGCCACATTGATATACCTAGATCACTTGAACAGGTTTCTGCCTTTCTTACCAGCCTTGATACGCTTCTCATCATATCTAATGCATTTTGGGCCAATTTTATTGTATCTACTGAAAAAAAAGAATCAAGCAGGCGTAGCACTCTTTCAACACCAAGCTTTAAAGAAATGGTTTCAAAGAGTCGAGATCGGAATCGACTTTGTCAATTACGTTTTTAATTTTTTTTTCAGTTCTTCATAATGATAAAATTTTCTATTATAATTTTCTATCATTCTTTGTTTATGTGATTGAGCTGGGATTGAATTATATTATATTTGTATTTGATATTTTGAAATAAAAGATAATACAATTAAGATAAATATCGCTATAGTCATCATTCTTGGAGGTTTCAGGGTCATTAGTCATGGGGCGTTGGATTCGTTGGTCTTGGGTAGTGCTCCGAACGGGTCGGGTCGGGCCGGGTTATAGGCCAACCTGACATAACAATTCAAAGATGGACAAGTAGAAATAAAGATATTGACAATTGCATAAAAGAACATCAACTTATAATTAATGATTATGATCGTATGATTGAATGGATTCCATCTGATAGAGTAGTTATTACTGAAGAAATAGGTAAAGGAGGATTTAGCACTGTATTTTCTGCAATCTGGTTGGATGGTATACGGAAAAGTGAATATAACCATGGTAATTAGATAAGAACACGCGAACCATCCAGCATTGTTGCACTCAAGACTTTATCTAGGGGGGGATTCTTTTAATTTTTTAAAAGAGGTAAGTTAAATCGCTATTTATTCTATTATTTAATTAAATACATATTAGCTGATTCATAATAAGTTCGACATTCATATGAAATGTACATTATGGGAATGTAAACTTAAGATATATGGATTGACACAGAACACTAAAACAAATGAATACTTGATGGTATTTCAATATGCGAATAATGGAAGTCTTCATAAGTTTTTAAAGTCAAAATTTCAAAAACTTACCTGGCAGACTAAATTAAAGCTACTTTTAGATATTTCATATGACCTAAGCTCAATTCATAGTGCGGGATATACTCATGCCGACTTTCATAGTGGTAATATTTTGCAAGATTGTAATTTTGCCGACTATATGAAATCTTACATTTCAGATCTAGGATCATCTAAAATGAAAATAATTTAGAAGGTAGTGTTTATGGAGTAATGCCATATGTTGCACCAGAGATTTTATCAGGTCAAAAGTTTACGTCAGCTGCTGATATTTATGGATTTGGAGTTATCATGTCAGAGATGTTTGGATTAAACTTAATGAATGGACTGAGCATGAAAAAAATACTGATGAAATTAAAAAGCAATTCTTAAATGCAAATAAAATAATTAAAGAATTACCAATTAACACACATAAAAATCCAGATTTCATGTACACTAGTAAGTTTATCAACACTCAAAGATTATCAAATGTAATTAGAGGTATTTATTTTAAAATTTATTATTTTTACTTATTTAAGCTTAAATCTTATGATGTATTATTTAGATTCTACTTTGCATGAACTTGATATTTCTGATAAGATTGGAAGTTTTGGTACGTATATAGCCTAAATAAATAAATCTGTTTTATAAGATGTAACTAATAATTTATTTACAGTCAACTCCCTCTAAGTGCACGTCCAATGTAAATGCACGCCTTCTCTTGGTCACAACTAATATTACGCCTATAGATTTTTAGCTCTCTAAATGCAATATCTCTCTAAGTGCACGTTTGGAAAAATTTTTATATATGGTCCCGTCGCATTGCACTTAGAGAGTGTTGACTGTACATTGTTTTGTGTTTTTATAAGAAGAAAAATGAAAATAGAGTTATTTAAACAATCTCTATTTGCATAAATAGGCTGATTAGTCATATCAACTGCTTCAGCATTATTATACTTGTCAAATTTTATTATTATTATTTGTACGTATATAGTTTAAAATGAAAATCATTAAAATTAGATATGCAACTTGTATAAATAAAATTTTATATCATCAAAGATAGAAGCGTGAAAGGTACTAAATTACTGAATCAGTGCATTATAGTACTTACGTCTGTCCGTGCGTGCTAGTAATTTATGTTGTATATGCGTTCATGCGATTTAGGATGTATATTAATAAATGATTAATAATGATCATATTGAAAAAAATAAGAGTATCACTAGGATATGGCACAAGTTAAGTCGAATCTTAAGATTGTAGTCTATTTGCATAAATTATTGCAAAAAAAAACTGATAGACAATAGACATTTGGATCAGAAGAATAATTCCAGAAACAGTCCATTAGAAACTAATGTTAAGCTAATTTATTGTGAAAGTATATAAAGAATTACTAGCATAATTCTTTATATTATTTCAGATTTCCAAATTTAAATGTTAATTCTTTTTATTCTTATATTTCTTATATGTGCAAACAAGGTAATAAATAGTGCTTGAAAATTTTAAACAGGCTAATTTAACAGTTTCTGATACTTTTAAGTGTTATTGTCTTGATAAAAACAATTTCCATGCTTAATAACGTACATAATAAGCAGTATTACTACATTATTTATCTATACGTGATCTATATAAAGGAAAATTTTATAATAACGGTATGAGAGCGCTTGTATTTAATTTGCTTAAAAGTTATACATAAAAAATTTAGTTTACCATCCTATGTTTACGAGAATTGAATAGCATACCATCTGTATGTTGTGAACTTTTTGTTCATGCTTATTTTCACCATGCCTGACAGTAACAAATAAATAAGTCGAAGGAAATATACCAGATCTTTGATATTTTTCATTAAATGGATATGTTGTATGTCAGAATAGAATTGTTAAAGACTTAGAATCTATTTAGGTTGAAACAGAATTCTAAATGTAACCCAAGTTGATATGAAATCTAAAAGCAACTTAAGTAGATTCTAAATTTGATATCGATGTTTGTAAGTAGCATGGGGGACATTCGAATCCGATGATTTCCGGGATCGACGTTACGTGAGTATTTATATAGGATAGTAGTGTAAAACCAGAATTTTCGGGTATAAGTGAACTAAAGAAAAAAAACTAACCATCCAATACTTTACTAATAAAATACCTTCATAACGAACGTCTTGTCAAGAAACCAAGTTGCATCGCGTTGCATCACACTATACAAGGTAGATCTCTTAAAAGTTGAAGTACTATCTACCGTATAGTAAAAGTTAAGAAAAGTATATTGTACTGCTTAATTCGCAAAATTTAACGTTGTTTTTTTCAATTTTTTTTTCAATTATTAACTTGTTAATTTTTATTTACAAACTTATGCAGACTCTTTTTTAAAATTATACATGCTTCTTAAAGGATATTTGACATAGTAGAATAATTTAATATGTACGATAGTATAGTTTTATTAATTACGCAAGATTTTAAGAAAAACTATTGAAGGACGTGTAACTTGTATTAAAAAATCTTTTAAATGAGTTTTATAATTGTAAAATTGCTGTTATAATTTGGATGAATAGTCTGATTTCTTTACAATGCGAGTTATTTTACTTCAAAGTTAAACAATGAACGAAATCGTAATATACGAGTAATGCCCGTTGATTGCCTGCGATGTTGTGATCATGTGTTGATAAAGTGGTTTCTGATTGGTTAATTATCATATGACAAAGCCCGTGGTTTTCCGAAAAGTGAAAAAGTCCCCCATGCTACCCGAATTATACTTTCCTCCAATTTGGATTTACATTATTTTATTGAACGAGCGATATTATCTCCTAAAAATGATCACATTAATGCTATTGATTCATTAATTATCAGTCATTTTTCTGGTGACACTATTGAATATCTTTAGTGCTAATAATATCGAAGAGCAAACTGAAGTTGTTCATTTATATCCTGTTAAATTTTTAAACTTTTTAACTATACCAGGTCTTCCTCCTCATAAACTTACTTTAAACCTGGCACTCCAATTATATTACTACGAAATATCCATCCTACTTACGGTCTTTGTAATGGAACTAGATTAATTTGTCGATCATGTAATTGTAGCTGAAATTATCACTGGAAAACATCCAAACTCTAAATTTTGTAGTATTCTATCTTTTACTCTTGTTTTCAACTTTTCGTAGCCTGTTCACGTATTACTTCCCACAATAATTTAAAAATTCTTATCGCACATCACCACAACAATAATATTTCTAATACTTCTATCACTTCCAATATCATTTTTTTACGCCTACTACTTTTTCCCTATTCCTTTCATCTATGTAAGTAGATCATTTTTTTTACCTTTTTCTTACCTTATCATTTCACTTAATTCTATTACTATAACTTCTCTTTTTACTTTATATTAACTTATATCGAGTAACAACACATGCATATCACTAATTTATTACTTAATACCTTTCTATATATTACTTACTTTATTTGTTTTTTTATTATCTTTAATTTCTTACATTTTTACTTCGTACTTATTTCTTTACCTAATTCTTTAGCATACAATTCATAATACTCAATTATATATTAGTTCTTACTATTATAATCCCTCTTAATTTACCCTACATTTACTATTTTCCGCTTTACTAATTAGCTATTATTTAATTAAATTAATTGTAAAAAAAGTTTATAAATTATTATTTAAATATATTTTACTTTTTATTTTACAATCAACTTTATTACTAATATATACTACCTTTATTTCACTTTACATATATCAAACTGTTTCCTTATATTTCACAATCCAGTTTTTTTATCTATTTATTTAATTTATAACCTTCTTCCTACAAAATTACTTTAAATACTCGTATTACTAAATCTATAATTTAATAAAATTAACTCTTATACCCATTACTGTATGTTTTAACTCAGTAATCTAAAAGCTATGCCTCACATGCTTCACCCGTTTCATTTATAATAAATTTACTCTGTTAAAGCCTACTTACTAAATTTAATTTTAATATAATAAACTTCTCTTATTTTTTACTTTCTACTATTAATTTGTCTATTTACCTACTCATATTTTTATATATCATTTTATGATTCAAAATTTTCCCATCAGCGAAGCGACATATATACATAAAAAATTACCATTCATTCAAGATTTTTAAAATCTTTTATATATTGAAACTTTTTTTCCTTATATAATTCTATGATATTGAAATTTATATTTCCCCTTAACGTTAAACCGTCAGCGAAGTGAACGGGCCATGTACTAGTACATATATTATATGGTGGTTTGGTCAGTCTGTACGGTGGGCTAATAACGATAACAGATACGTAATCTTTATAACAATTATTCTAACCAAAAAAAGAACAATTCTTGATTAAACTCGTGGTACAAATATAAAAGGACTTTTTGAGAGTTTAAAGATTTAACATTCGATTACTGATTACTAAAAGGACGGGACAATGAGTATGAAAAATGACATTTCAATTGATTGCTCTTTCAAAACTTTTTACAAGCAAAGTAGTTAAAGTTGTCATCATTTTTTTTTACAACGGTTACCACTCTAATATTAGCGACAATCCAGAGACAAGTGGTGATTTTTAACTTTGTCATATAACTCTAGGAATTTTATAATATATTGATATTATTACCTAATATTTAATAGAGTTTAATTGATTCGTTATGTATGAAATAATGATCATAATTTAAATAATTAAAAATCGATTACATAATAAGGTAACATTTCAATGTGGTCGTGAAAGACAAACATGGACCTTAAGAACATTCTTGATTTTTACTTAAATTCTTTACTTCTCTTACCTGCGCTTTTCTTTTCACCTCTTATTGTTTACATAATTTGTATTGGATTTGAACCTCTTTGGTTGTGGCGACAACTATTCTTACTTCTAACCTCCGGGTACGAATTCTTGTTTTCTTTATATTAATTGGTAGTCTTATGGTCTAACAAATTTTTCTAATAGCAATCAGCAGAAAGAACAAAAGGAATTATTAAAGGCATGTTTTTTTTGATTAATTAAGAAATAAAGATATGGCTAACAATATACAATTTTTTATATTAGATTCTACCTATTTGTAATATGATTCATGTTCATTTCAGGCGAAGGGGAAGGGGTCCTACCGTGAATTCGAGACTTTTCTGATGTCTCTTGATATTCCAAATATCATTATTCCTGACTGTGATCTAAAACAGTTTGAAAAAATTGCATCCTTAAATTCCCGCTTTCTTCGAATGAATCTTATTGAGGGACAACTTGAGATCATCATGCCACCATTGCCAGTTCACTATGACACCGGTATGCTATGCTTGTGTATTATTATTGAGGTTGAATGTCAATAGATATCCCCGAATGATGATGAAAAATTATTATTAGGTGACAATGAATTCGAAATTATTGGCCAGGTTTACAAGTGGTGTGAAGCCAATGAAAGTTTAGTTGGAAAACGTGGTACTTCGCAGGTATATTATAAAAAAAAAAACATGGTAATTATTCTTTATGTTGTTAATACTCCAATCACTTTAATTTTAGAGTGCCTTTAGATTGCTTAGGCTAGAAAATCCTGATTCTCCCGATAAACCCACTATTCTATCTCCTAATGCTGCCGTTATTCTCAAAGCAAGGTTTTTGAAAATTATTAAATATAAAGATAGTTTTCATTTTTTAAAATGTTAATTTATATTTTCCATTATTGCAGATGGGATTCTTTAACCGATGAAGCCAAAGTAACATTCCCCCAAGTTGCCCCAAATTTCATTATTGAGTTGCGTTCGTCAAGTGATTCCCCCCAATCTCTTCATCAAAAAATGATACGTTGGGCGAATGCAGGTGTAGATGTAGGAAAATTAATGATAATTGATAAATGTTTATTAATTATATTTTTTTGGTTAATTACTATTATAATGGTGATCCAGGAGGGAATCTCCATAGACTTAATTACAGATCCACCGGAGGTGAGAATCTATACAATTAATCCTGACACTAATAAAGCCATTTGGAAATCATGGGTGAAACCCGATCAGGTTAAATCAGAAGTTCTCAGAGGGTTTGTTTTAAACATGCAAAAGATATATTGACAATAGAAAGTTAAGTTACAGAATTTTGGAGTATTAATAAAATAGTAGCATTTTGCCGAGTAATACTTGCGGCTGTCTTTACGTACTATAATAATTTATACTGTGTATATGTTCGTGCAACTTAGGATGTATATTAATGAATGATTAATTAATAATGATAATATTGAAAAATATATAAGTGTCACTAGATACTGTAACCGTTGATGGGAGAGCTTATGAAATAATATGACTAAATGGCCAATTCAACTCCAACGGTTTACGGGGAGATAATGATAAACTTGGAGACGAAAA